TATTTAAAGCAAATAGTTTTGAAGGTTTTCTTATAATTATAATAAATTTTGCGAAATTGTTTTGATTTTGCATATTACAAGATAAAATTAAATATTTTCAAGGAATGCATCTACTAAAGTGCAGTTTCATAAATTATATTTTCAAAATTCTTTAGAAAAGTATTAAAATAACGGTGCTTCCTTTAAAACGCTTCTTTTTAAATTACTCTGACAACTTTTCACAATACCAATTATAGCATTTTTACAAATTGAACAATTTTTGAAAAAAAGAGCGTCCTCTCGCTGTTTTTTTGTAGAATAGTGTAGAAAAATATATATTCGTCAAAAGGGCTAATAACTTGTATAATAGATAATTGTGTTATATTTGCGTGTATGATCTGTGGTCTTTAGTTCGTATAAACGAGTAGCCAATGGAGTGACATAGACATCGCCCTTGACAAAATTGATCCCGGTTTTCTCTTCATATGTATTTCATAAAGCGTAGTCGTAACTTTGTTAGAAATATTGCTAACCTTCACATTAAACTTTATCGAATGTCTATAACATCAGTATTTTCAGATCTCGAACATATGCCATAGATTTTTTGTGAAAGTTACAATACTTAACTTTACAGATATGCAGACGTGCAATGCGAAAAGATTCTTCGTACATTTACCATTTTCCATAATAAAAATGATTATATTTATATTAATCTAAAATTACATTATATTTTAGAATGATTATATAATATATAATAATATATTATATTATTATATTATTGCAATTATGTAATATTATATTTTACAATAACTTTTCTTTTTTTTATAAGTATGAAAATTGTCCATAGAGAAACCGAGCTTTAAAAAAATCACCCGAATGTTATGGCGTGAGGCCATCCGGCTTGTGGTACTGGTAGCGGTGTAGTGGAGTTCTTTAGTAACTCTCTTACACCATGAGCATGATGCTATCGCTTTTAGTTTACGTTTTATAGTGGCTCGAATGAGGTTGCTATAATCGATATTTTTGAAAAAATAAATTAATATTTTCGTTTAAGTCATTATATAGATCTTCTTAAACAAAATAACTTTTATTCGAAACATTTTTTATATATAGGTCTCTTATTTAAAAAAAATAACTGAGTGTGTACACTTAAATCAAACACACTGTATATCTACATATATATGTATATATATTATATTTATTTATATCAGTTACAATATATGGAATATTGCAAGACTGCGGTACGATATACCTACCCTGTGTATGCGAATTGCGAGAAATAGCGAATTATTCTGGAAGCCAGATCTCGCTCTTTGGCGTTGTATACCAGAGATTGGTTCAAAGGATGCCCGAAGACATATTCTACCTCATCACCGTGCATCACACCCATCCATTCGCCCCATACATTGGTACTCGTCCTCTGTAACACACAATACATGTTCCATCATTAGTTCCTTGATTGTCGTTTTGCATCAAAAATAATATATCTTTATTTAATTCTTCAGATTAAAAGTGTAAAATATGTATCACGCTATTAGTTTTACATTTAATGTTGCAGATATATTCGAAAATACGTTACGTGGCTGTTGTATATATATTTTTAAATTTTGGTTCGTAGATAAATGTGGCTTTAATTTTAATTTATCGCTGCCATTCATTAATAAAAATAAATACATAATATAAATAAATATTAATTTTAAATTAAATTTAATTGATTTAAATATGGTACAATACATAATATAATATATAATACTCCTGGATACAATATAATTTTTCTGAATCTTAAGAAATATTATTTTTAACTGAGTATGAATATGTGAACGCGTGCTTGGAGGTTAAAAATATTCATTTGCCTTGAGATGTATATAGAGATAATGAACAGTATTAAATAATAGATGAAGTAGACTATAAAAGCTGAAGAGAAAATAACCCCATTACATATATTCTATATTATTCTATCGGGCTTCCAAAAAGATAATGTTCTATGTATAATGTTATTTGAATAGAGTTACATTTCTATATTTATAAATTATCGAAAATAACAAAGTATAATATTAGCTTTGTTAATAACTGAGATATTTTCAACTTTTATCTTTACGAGATAAGAAGTAATACGAAACATTTTTTTCGAAACATCTGCTTAAAATTAATTTTTTTAAACAAAAATTTAATTCAATACATCTTTAATTTATTTCTAAATTAAATATTTTATTGAATTAAATTTTTGTTTCTCACACAAGGGCATTTTATATATACTAGAACACTATAAACGCGCGCTACGCATGCGCTATTTATTTTATGTATGTGTGTGTATAATTATTTACACACATTAACTCTAGTTCTCCGTTTTATCAAAATAAATTATATAAAAATTACACACACACACACACACACACACATAGAGTCAAATATATTTTGTCCACGATGTTAAAATTGAATAATTAATATAACGATAAGCTCCGTGATACATTAATCGTTTAATAAATAATTGATCTATAATTTAAAATACTTATATAATTTAATATTTTGCATATATATTTTATAGTAATT